TCGGGTGAATCTGGGAAAGGGGGAAAGGAGGACTTACACGCCCAGGCAAGATAAACAACTGCCCACGCGTCCAGGGGACTGCACACCGGGAGGACAAGAAGGAGAGGGCGCAGGGTAATGTGCACAAACAGGCCCAGGGGAGAGATCGGGGGGGGCAGAGGCAGCTCGGAAAGGAGCTTGTGGGACCGAACACACACCGAGGGGGTGGGGGTGGGGGTTTTGCGGAGGGGTTTCAGAGTTTCATCTCCCCAAGTAAGGCTGCCGTACAACAAGGTGCGTGGGGCGGGGGAGGGTGGGAGTGTTTGTGTGTGTGTATGGGGGGGGGGTGCACAACGACAGGATGTAGAAAGAGGGCTTGCTTTGAAAGGCTTTGTGTGGTTATTGGAGAAGATATGGAATACGCGGGACACGCCGCAGTACGAATGTATTCGTACATACGTACCGTCAACGGTACGAACACCCGCTCCGAAGCCCTCCGCAATACTTCCAACATGGGGGTGTCCTCCATCACACAGTCCCTAAGAGGTCGTACGAATGTACGAGAGAGGGAGCGGGGAAGGAGGGAGGAGTCAGCGAGCTCAAATTTAAACTGAGGGGGGACCGAGAAGCTATCTAGGAGGGAGGCGATGATCATGTTCTGGGGGTATGTATGTATGTATGTATGACTTAGATTACACTGTGGGCCGCGAGAGCCGGGGGCCGAAGCTGAAACACAGCGCAAGGGTCGGGATGTATGTATGTATCTCACAGCCACACCCCTGCACAAGGGCCCCGCTTTCCACCTGAATCCAGTGATGTTGAGGAACGCCACCTCATCCGCCCCCTCCTCGAAGTACCTGGAGGGGTGGGGGAGTGGGGGAGTGGGGGAGTAAGGGGAGGGGTAAGCGGTAAAGTGGAATTACCCCTGCATGTAAAAAGAAGTCCAAAAGCCGCGAGTTGGGCTGGGTGATGTGCGCTGGTGTGGCGTGGGGTGGAATGTCGCGTTGCGAGGAGAGTCGCATACTTTGCGGAAAAAGTGCATACAGACACACGTACATACACATACACATACATACCCTTCCGCTGTGTTTCGGCTTCGGCCCCTGGCTTTACCAGCCCACAGCGTAATCCAAGTCATACATAAGTACACATACATACATACATACATACACATACATGCACACGCACCTCGCCGCCAAGTCAACGGGCTTGCCCAGGTTGCGCACATCGCGCCCACCATCCTTCTCCCGTACGTCGTACTGGTCGCCCTGCAGGTGCCGTACAAAGTACACGCAATAGTGCCAACAAACAACAAATAAACAAACAAAGACATACACACGTACGCGTCATTCTGACAGCCGCAGCCGCAGCTGTTCTCACCTCCCGCCTCCGCGGCTTTTCTCTCTCTTGCCCCCTCCCGTTCCGAGGATCGGTAATTGGGAGCCGCTTGCGTGTGTGTATGCGCCGGATACCTCCCTCACTCCTTTTTTTACAAATTCCCCTTCCCCTTTACTCCCCTCCCCTTCCCCCTCCCTCTCCCCCTTCCCCCTCCCTCTCCCCCCTTCCCCCTCCCTCTCCCCCCTTCCCCCTCCCTCTTCCCCCTTCCCCTCCACCCCCCTCCCCACCCCCTTCCTCCCCCCTCCCCCCAGCCACCGACCTTGGTGACCACCAAGTCCCCCTGGTCGTTAGATCGCACATCCAAACACGCAATGACACGTCTGGCCAGGCCAGAAGGGCCCGATGGAGGGGAGGCGGGGGAGGAGGCCGCTTCCTTCGCTGCCTGCCTCGCCGCCACCGCTTCCTTGGGGTGAAGAAAACCTGCAGGACAACCGCGAGGTGTGTTCGTTGATGGTCGACGAATATTCGCAAGACACTTTTAACCAATCAACCAACCAACCTCCCAACCAACCAGCCTCTAGCACGCCCGCTTTAAGCACCTCCGCCCGCCCCAAGTCCAGACATGTCCCCGGAGATGCAAATGCGGATTACATTCCCAGGTGGATTTTGCCGCCACATTTTTAATTCATATTTTAATATGATCCATGTTTGGAATGATCAGATCCATCCAGGATTTCGTGCCGTACCCGCCAAAATATCCAGCCCCGTGGCGCCGCTCTTCTCCGGGTGAAACTGAACCGCGGAGACCGACCCACGGTTCACCGCCGCCACAAACTCCCCGCCGTACTGCGTGGTGGCGAGGACCCACTCTGAGTTGGCGGGGGAGGGCGTGGCCCTGTGGGGGGGAAAGGGGGGGCCCAGTGGAACGGGGGGGTGTTAAATAATTGGAAAAAGGCACGACGTGGGAATCCCGGATGGCGGGAGGGAATTCAAATTCAAATTCCGAAACCCCAGAAACACACCCACACACGGCATCACCACTTCCCATACAGAACGAACCCCCACTTCAACTCGTAATACACACACACGCGCGCGCGCTCACATACACACATTGCCTGCCCAATTCACGACACCTCTAGCTCCGCTTGACCAGACCCGCCTACGTCATACACAGCACCTTCCCTTTCCCTTTCCTCCCCACGCACATACATACATACATACATACATACGAATGCGCCTTTCCTCCAAGCCACCCACCCGCTCTGGGAACCCCTACCCCGTTACCCGTTCCCTCCCATTCCTTCTCCTCCCAGGCCCGTCGTACGACCTGTACGAATGCACGTAGTACACCCGGCGATCTCCCACTCCGTCCAGCAGTGCCGACCCGCGGGTCGGCGCGATGTTGTTCCAGCCGATGTGCGGCACGGGCAGTCCCAGGCGCGTGTCGAACTGGGTTACGGCCCCTGGGATTACCCCCAGTCCCTCGCAGCCGCCGCTCTCCTCACTGCCCTCGAACAGCAGCTGAAGACCCAGGCATATCCCAAGAAACGGCCGACCGGACTGTGCACACACCCCCCAAGAGGGTGATGATGGAAGGGGAGAAGTGGAAGTGAAAAAGGGGGAGAAAGTCAGTAAAGTGCCGTTGCGATGACAGGGGCGATCGATTGACAGGGGTCCCCACCTCCCCGCCCAGGCCCCCTGTCCACCCCCTGTCCTGTGGGTTTCTCCGGATCCGCCTCCCGTACAAGTCCCCAGTTCGACTCTTACTGAAAGCACTTCACTCGGATTTGAAAATAACCCTTCCCCCCAGGCCCTCCCGGGCCCAGCAGGTCTCTCCCCCCTCCACCGGGGCCCTGCCGGCTCCCCCTCCTAATGTCGTGTCGTACTGCCCGTGCCGTACCGCAATGTAATCCTTGAGGGGCCCTACGAGGCCCTTCTTTGTGAGAATTTTCATGGCCTGTCCGAAGCTGCCAACACCAGGGAACACCAACTTGTCGGCGGAGGCCAGATCAGAGGGCTTCTCAACCTGCGTGTATGTATGTACGTATGTGCACATGTACATATGGATGATTGATGGGCATGATAGGCGGCGAGGGGTGTGATCATAACTGTGCAATTTCGGAGCAGGAAAGCGGGTGGTGTGATGGGGATTTGGGTTCTGTGAGGTCATAGACGGGTGTGAAGTTGGGATGGTGGAGGAGATGTGTGAGGCGGGTGCGGTATGGTCCTGCAGATTGTACGGCTGCGCCCAAGGGATAGGGGTAAGGGCATGTAGGGGGGACAGCGAGGAGAGCTTGAGAAGGGTGTTTGACCTCGTATTGTACAGGGCGTTGGGAGAACGGTCAACCGCGAAAACTGTTGCCGATATGGTTTCCCATCAAGCTCACAGCAGAGCGTAATATGTAACCCCAACGGGAAGAGATGATGTGCACCCCCCCAATGGCTCCGAAGATGCGCCGTCGGCTTTAGTGGTGGACTTCTTGCAACACTGTCTGGCAAAGTTATGGACCAGATTATGCCGAATTCTATTCCCCGAACATGAGAACGTAACTCGCAGGCCCCTCTTACGTCGCGGATGGTGTAGCCAAGCTTCTTGATGGCATTTCGCACGCTGCGTACATTTCCGGCGCCATAGTCCAATAATGTGACTTCTCGATTGGCACTATTACTAGCTTTGCAAACTAAAGAAGAGGTGCGACAACGCGCAGGCACGCGAGAGGTGGCGCGAGGCGTCGAGGTGGACGCCTCAACCGCCGCCGCTTGACGGCTAGGCATAGTATACATCTGAACTTTGTATATAATAAAATAACACTCCTTCTTTCGAAAACGTGATACTGCAAGTAGTCCTTACACAATTACCTGTACTTTCAGCGAGGACGAACTTGGCTCCGATCGCCTTGATGCCCTAATTTACTAAATTGAAAATTGCGGTTTCATTCCTAGATATAATTAGAGTTACCTTTACATTAAAGCTGCCTTCTTGACAAAGCGACACTGCAAATTGAGAAGAAACACCGCCAGTCCTTTGCTGTAATCTGTAAGTTCCTAAAGGCAAACGATTGTTTCAGAATTTTAAGGTGGCGTGCCTGGAAGCCAACTTCAATAGCACTAACCACCTAGGCAGCACCCATCGCACGCGGCATCCACGCATCGCTTTCCTCTGGTCGCGGGTCAAGTCTCACAGTTAAAGATGTCTGGAGGCGTGAGCTGTGCCGGGGCCTTGGATGACACGTATTCGTAGCGTCAGACCTCAGCCATGAGCTTCGCACCCAGTGGACCGTCGTCCGCAGCAGGCGGCGGCTATGCGCCTGCTACATATCAGGTTAGCCACCGATGTGGTGACCCCACGCGACTGCGTGCCAGGGCGCGACCTGGCCGAGGAGGAAGTGCGTTGCTATGTACGGCAAGCTACAACTGCAGCGGAAAATACTCCTCCCACTTCCATCTTTACAAACGAGGCACCCCTCGTGAGCTTCTAGAGTCCCCTCCCTGGATCGTCTTCCCGCTTCTTCGGCCCTGTCACAAACCCCCACGCGTTACCTCGCTCCCCGCTCCCATCCCCTCGACCTCCAACTTTGGACATCGCCTGTTTACCACTCTTGAGCTTTCTCTTACATCATCATCATCACCATCATCATCACCGCCATCACTTAAGTCCGCTCCCCTCCCTTTCCTCCCTCTCTCCCTTCTCAGCGGTTGATGCGGTTAGCAGCTCGCGCCTTCTACAGCGGCCCCTGCCCTCCCCCGGGCCGCGATGCGGACTCATTCAGTGCCAGGTCCAAGATTGCCAAGGTGGGGGCCACAGCTCCCCCCTAGGAAAGGGGGCCACAGCTCCCCCCTAGGAAAGGGGGCCACAGCTCCCCCCTAGGAAAGGGGGCCACAGCTCCCCCCTAGGAAAGGGGGCCACAGCTCCCCCCTAGGAAAGGGGGCCACAGCTCCCCCCCCCCGGGGGGCGGGGAGGCAGCGGTCGGAGCGAGGGGAAAGGATAGGGGGGAGAAGGGGTGGAAGACGAACCACGAACGAGGGAAAGGAGGGAAGGGAGGAGGAAGATACATACATACATGCATACAGACAGAGGCAGACAGACAGACAGACAGACACATTTTACTACCTCCTGTCCCTTCTGTCTTGTATGTATGTATGTACATGTATCTGTCCAGATGGACACTCGCGGCCTGGGGGTGGTGTTGATCGACTACCTCACCACCGTGGAATGGATCTCGTTCGACCTGCTGGCCGAGTCGCTAAGACTGCACCCGGTGGTGCTCAGCAGGGCGCTAAGATTCCTTGAACAGGTGCGGGGTTAGGTGTACGGCACTTTTTAGACATGTGTACGACAGCGGTAGTGTTGTGCGGAAGTTGTACGACGGTGTACAGTTAGCTCGCTCGGCTCGCTCGGCGCCAAGTGAAGGCTCCGGCCCCCGGCCCCCCCCCACCTGTCCCGCAGTTCCAGCTTTGGATGTCCTGGGCAGTTGACTCCGCGCATCTTCTCCTTGCATCATCATCGTCATCTGATTCCCCCCTGCCGATCTTTTGCAAGTATGATTTATCCCCCGCCCTCCCTCACTTTCCCTTATGTTTCCTTACACATGATTACCCCCCGCCCCCGCAACCCCCGCCCCCTCCCCCCCGCCCCCCCTCCCCAGGGCCACATGGTGCTCCGTTACGAGCGGCGGGAGAGTCGGAGGAAGAAACGCAACATCGTGGGGGAGGCCATGGAGGTGAGCGCTGATGTGGCGTGTGTGTATGTACGTGTATGTATGTACATATACGGGGGCTGTTTGTGCTAGATGTTGAATGCCAAGTGACGTCACATACAGGCGCGCACGCGCACATGCGTCACCTCATCCCGGGCTGTAAGCCATGTAAGGACGGAAGTGTTGTACAACTGTGTCGTACAGGCTGACGTGGCCCAGGGAGGCGACTCCGATGAGGAGGAGGAAGAGGAGGGCGGTACGAAAAAAAAGTACGACTGGGGGCGGTAAACGGAACACAAAGCGGGATAATGCTCCCGGGGGCGAACGGGTCCCACAGGTTCGCCTGTGCGTGTGTGGGGGGGGGAGGGGTTGGCATCGGTGTGGGGGGACGGAGGGGGGGAGAGGAGGGGGAGGGGGGGTGTAAGACGAACCATTGGCGAGGGAGAGCATCATCATAATCATCATCAAGTTCTCACCGCCATGTCTTCATTGAGTCACCCCCAATGCCTTTCTAACCACTATCCAGACGTGAACCATTTTTACAGTAACCACCACCACAACCACCACAACCACCATCACAACCAGCACTAGTTGGTGGCTATCCCCAGCAGCAACCGGGTTTACCCCGTAATAAACCAACCGTCGTGTTGCCACCAACCGCAGTTTCTCAACCCCGCTCCGAAACCGCCGCAGGGGACTTCTGACCGAATACTTCACACTGGACTACGCGCGAGCCTTTGATGCGCTGCAGGTGGGGTCGGGCAGGGAAGGAGGGGTGTGTGTGGGGGGGGGAGGTTGACAATGCCGTTCCAGTGCACAGCATAGCTGCGCTGACCCGCAGCGCCTTACTGGACTTACCTGCCGTTAGCCCTTCCTCCCAACCCCAACCCCCGACCCGAACCCCAACCCCAACCCCAAACCAAACCCCCGAACCCCGACCCGAACCCGAACCCCAAGCCCAAGCCCAACCACCCCATCCAGCTGGCTCGTCTGATTTTTGCACACGCCTTTGACTTCCACCACTTCGCACTAACCCACATGTTCCCATGTGGTCGGGGGCTCGTATGTACACACGGACATACAGACATACGGACACCAATCCCCATTTTTTCCTACATCCCCCGATTGACCCACGGGTCACCAGGTCCGGATTCAAACCATGCGTTCCTCCCTCAAGGAGCAGTTGGAGGCAACCAACGCCATTCAGGTGGGGCGAGGGGGAGGGGGAGGGGAAGTATTACGGGGAAGCTAATTACGGCGGTCTTTGGGCGGTCTTTTTGGCAAGCGACGGTTGGATACAGCGGTTGGTCGGTTTGGTGGTTGGCCGGTTGGTGGTTCGGGTGTGCCGCAAGGCCGCAAGGTCAACACATCCTTATACACACTCGTACGACGTCGAGGAGGAGTAAGAGGAGGTGCGCTTGACACTTTAAGTTTTGAGTCGTACACACTTCGGGGTGTGGTGCATAAAATACCCTTTTCTGCTCCTTACCCCTTAACTTTCCCCCCTTCCTCCGCCGGGATAGGCATATCGGTGTCCGGGAGCCTTCTGCGGCAAAACCTACACCTCCCTGGACGCGGCCAACCTCGTGGATCCTATGGATCTAACTTTCAAGTACGACATCTCACCGTTGGGGGTTTTATTAGGGGGGAGGTGGGGGAGGTCGGGGGGGAAGGGAGGGGGAATGAGTAGTAGGCGCACAGGAGAAAGGAAAAGGCCATGAAACTAAATGTACCGTGCCCTTATTTGTTTGTCTGTTTGTTTGTTTGTTTTTCTATTTGTTTGTTTGTTTGTTTGTGCGCCTCTTGGCTTGAATGGTGGCTGTGTTCTTGTCCTGGTGTGCAGATTCCGTAGGAGTGGGTGCCGCTGTCAGCTTGATGTGTAGCTCTGAGCCGATTGGTGTGGCGGCGCATTGATATTGAGTTTGCCACTGGCGGAGAAGTGTACTAGCAGTGAAAAACCTTGAGTAGAAAGGAAGAAGATCAAAAAACAAAAAATAAAACGACGAAAGAGGGGAGAACGAAAGGGAATAGTGTTGACTCATCGGGGTGGCAACGACGTGACGGGTGGTGGTGGTTGAGGAAGAGGGGGAGAAGCTACAGTCGGGTTTACCCCGGGGGCATGCACATGTTCGTACGGGTCACAGTCCAAATGCTGTACATTCCGCAGTACACGACCACGCCGCGGTGCGTGGATGAAGAAGAAGCAGCCGTGGTGCATGTATGGACGTATGTATGTATGTATGTCACCTCTTTCCCCCTTCTCCGCAGATGCGAGATGTGCGGCAGTGAGCTTGTGGAGCAGAGGGCCACTAATGATGCGGAGGCGGGGTCGGGGGCCCCGCAACACGCCACGGCCAGGGAAAGCAAGGAGGTGCGCGCGTGTGTGCATGTATGTGTGCGTATGTGTGTGCATGTGTGTGCGCGTGTGTGCATGTATGTGTGCGCGTATGTGCATGTATGTGTGCGCGTATGTGCATGTATGTGTGCGCGTATGTGTGTATGTCATGTTTTGACAATTAATTTTTAAACCTGAGCCGCGATAACGGGATCAGGCCGAATTGGGTGCACAAATATGTGTATGTGTGAGAAGATCCTTCCTCTAGAGGGGCGGATTCCCGCCTGCCCCTCACCTTTCCCTTCACTCTTTTCCTCATTCCGCAGGCAGCGCGACGCCTCCTGCAGGCCATAGAGCGGGAGCTGGCGCCCATCACCCGCCTCATGAGCGACCTGCAACACAGGGGAGTACCACTGCCCGACTCGGGGGATCTGTTCGAGTGGGCGCAGCGGGTACGGCAACGGGAGGTGGAGATGGCGGCGGCAGCGGCGGCGGCGGCTGGAGGAGGGGGAGCTGGCGGCCGTGGCGGCGGCGGAGCCGCCGCCGCAGGTGCCGGCGGCCGCGCGGCCATTGGAGGCGGATCCACCGCCGGCGGGGGCGCTTCCGGAGTTCCGACGGCGGCGCTGCTGGCGGGTAGTGGCGTCACCGTGTTGTCGGCGGCGGATAACACCAACACATGGGAGTCCCAGGACTTCAAGGTATCGCTGGATGGTGGCGCGGCCGGCGGCGGCGGCAGCGGCGGCGGGCTGCTGTTCGGCGGCGGCGGCGTCGCGGCGGCGGCGGGACATGCCGACAGCGGCGGCGACGGTGATAAAAAGACGCCGAAGGTTCTGCCTTGGTTCATGAAGGCTGCTGACGGCAAGGTACGGCACAAAACCCAAGTACGCTTTGCGCCGATGTGTGTGTGAATCTGTGTGTATTTCGCCACATATAACTAATAGGTCACAGTATTCATCCAGGCTCCTGGTTCATTCTCATCCCCACAAACCGCCACCATTTTTCGGCCAGATTCCTCCCGCGTTTGGGTCGGGCGCCGCGTAAACGAGAGCGCTCATAGAACCCCCGTTGGATGACACGCACCTCTTGCTAGTGACGCTGACGTGCTATCAACTCGCCAACCCCAACTTGGTGGTCGCTGCAAAGGCTGGGCCGGGGTCGACGCTGGCAGGCGATGAGACCGGCGGCGGCGGCGGCGCAGTCAATGGAGCAGCCGCCGACCGTGGCAAGCAGCAGCAGCAGGCCGAGTACTTCCGCGACTTCATGAACTACATGTCCAAGCTGCAACAGGAGAAGCGCACTGCACCGATGCCGGGACGACCCGAAGTACCGGTGGCGGCGGCGGCGGTGAAGCCGCCGGCACCGACGCCACCTGTAAGCTTCGTCGCGTCCGTCAAGCCCGAGCCTGGCGTGACGCCGCCGCTGGGGCTGCTGGCACCGGCGCCCCCGGTGACTTCGCTGCCGCAGGTCAAACAAGAATTGGGGTTGTACGGAACTGCCACCGCCGGCCCCGCCAGCGGTGCAGCCGCTGCTGGCGGCGGTGACGTAGAGTGGGAGGACATCGGCACTTTGCTGCCTCCGGTATCCCAACAGCAACCCAAGTATGAGGACCAGGTCAAGACAGGTATGTACGGAACCGTTAACGGTTTCATGCGCTTCGCACCACCCAGCTGTGCTTGGGGCCCCCCTTCCATTCTCCTATTCCATTTGGGCGGTCTATGTCTTGGTGTCTGTGCGTGTTTTCCCATTCCTCTCTCCCTATCCCCCCTTCGTCACTATCACTCCTTCTCCCTATTTCCCTCCCCCCCCCCGTCCACTCCCCCGCTCTCTGACCCCGACGCTGTTTCCTCCCCCCACCCAATTCCCCCCCCCCCCCCCGACAACAACCGGGGGTGACGCCGGGGCTGTCTACGCGGACAGAGCCGACGGGAACGGGCTTCGGCAGCGGCGGCATGGCCATGGACGCCGATGTGGATGTGGAGTGGGAGGACGTGTGAGGAGGAGGAGGAGGCGGTGACTACAGCCACGCGACAATGCGGCACTTGCCGTACAAATGGGGCACGGGGGCCGTGGGTGTAATTCCATTCAGGAAATGCTGATTAGTTCCGAGTTTGCGATTTAGTTCGTCTGGAGCTGCCATACGTGTGGATGCGGACGCGGATTCGGGATATGTTTTTTTTTTATCTTTTTGATTGTGGTGTTGTCTGAGTAGGTGTGGTGTAAAGCTGGGAGGGGGTAAGCGATTGGGTGAGGTTGCGTTTTGTGCTTGGTGCTCTGTGGCTGTTTCGGGAGTTTCTTGCAGCGGTGTTCTTGCGGACTCGAGGGATAGATGACGTTGCTGTGGGCAGATTATAGCAGGAGGCACGGCGGCTAGTTAGAGCTGGTGGATTGAAGCTGATTCTTTCTGTGCGGCGCCTTGTGGTGAAAGGTAAGACGGGTCTAGAATATGAATTTTGTACCGCCAGTTTGGCGGGAGGAGGTGTGTACAAAATACTTGGGATGGAACGGCATACATGTTGCTTACGTGCTTAGCAACAGCGAATCCTATGTTTTTCTCGAGCACACTGTTGCGATTTGATGAATTTACTACTCGATATGTCTGTCGGAAAGTAAATTAACAACCGACGCGATCACCGCTGTAAGCCCGCATGCATGCATGAATGACTCTACTTGGCTACATCGCTGTTTCATATTTAATACGTGGGCATAGCAGGTTTTCTGTTCCATATGCGTTTCACATGCGTCTCAGATGTCATGTTCCCAGGCCAACGACAAGTCTTCACGTCAAGAGCCAAGGGACGAAAAGAGGAAAATTCCCATCAAAAGCACATTAACAGGTTTTATGTTTTGCGGGAGCTATGATGAAGTTTCCGCACACGTCTGTCTTCTCCTCTTTCGCCCCCGACTGTCGGCCGACAACGTGCCGGCACCGACACAGCATAACGGCCAGCGGTGAATCCTCAACGGGTCTTTAAACCACCGTTATCATATTAGGGATTTGGAAAACTTCAGGGCCCGCCTGGATGCAACTGGGTCGGTGAGCGTACGGAATCGCTACTGGTTGACATGCCGTTACAATCCGTTTATAAGGGTAAGCAGGTGCTGATGCAGAAAGCAGGTCGCTTTTCAACAACTACTTAAATTAGCAGACCCGGACCCGTGCCTGAGCAGCACCACACCCCTTGGAGCTGTCTCTAATAGAACATCAGGCCGGTGCATACCGTAGACGACCGGCGCGCTGCCTTTCCCATTGGCACGCGTTAACTCAATTGGTCCTACGTTCCGAGGCTTACCTAGTAACCAAAGACGGATCTTTTACCTTTTCGACTGGCTTCTGCGACCGCCAGCTGACGGACCGCTCTAAATTGGTAAGTTTCCGGCTCTGCTTTGCGGCAAATCTTAGACTGTTGGCCACGAAAAACTTCCCGTTGTATAATACCCACTCAAAAATTACGTGCCTTGGGCTTTGTTGTTCAGAAACCTTGACTTTCGCAGTCCATCTGCTGACATTCTCCTCTGCCCAACAACCCCTGCCGCAGAGGTGAAAAACCTCCACGCCTACTCCAATTTCCATCCATCAGCAGCTTGCTCTACCATTGCGGACTGCTCGTAGATTATCTACGTTACCTATCGACACCACTCCACGACTTTCTCAACAAATATAGAGGGATAACCTTTAAGAATGACGAAGTGCTCGAGCTCCTGTTCATCATCGGTTGCCACAGCCATCGTCCTCACCACCAGCGTCCTTCTCCTGTTCACGCCGACTGCCGCTGCCGCTGCCTCTGCCGACAACCGCCTAGCCAACCTCCGCGGCATTGGCAGCATTAAGCAGCAGCAACAGCTAAAGCTCCATTCCTCCACCTTCACGCTCCCTTCGATCAGCAACTGTGAGCGAGACGCGGCCAAATCGCCTCTGCGTCTTTCCTTTGACGCTGCTGCCTCGGGGCTCGAGTTTGGAGGCACTATTCAGCGGTACTGCTTCCGAATCCGCAGCACTGCTGGTTGTAGCTTGCCTTCCAGATGCTGCGGCTCATCTTCACGAACCGCCTCTAAAATTGAATTTGACGTTGGTAAGTTTTGGGATTTGGGTTTTTGGGGTTCTCGTGAGACATACCGTGCCGACAATCCGAATATGCTAGCCATGGGGGGGGTGGATTCATGCCGGTATTTCAGGGGCCCCATGTTTAGATGCCAGGTGGCCAAGGGGAGACGTGAAAGAGGAAATTGTTGGCGCGCAGGAGTAATTAAGAGGATGTGGACTTGCATGCACCCCGCTTCATGGGAGTGTAAACAGGTTTCCTTCCTTTTTTTGTGAGCCTGTGGAGTTCCTTTCCAGGTCCCAATCTCCAGCCGAACTGAGTCGGGCCATTCAAGCCCCCCCCAGTCTCAGCTCCTGTCTGATTGCGCTCGGAATTGCTTTTATGGGAACTTAGGGTTCATAATTCTGGGGTGTGACGGGTGCGGGTCACCGAAGTCTGTGGTGAAGGAAGGAAGCCGCCTCGCGGGGTTTGATCAGGAAACGGGATTTGCGATTGGATGTTGGTGCATGCCAAACCTGGCAAGCTGTTGCGCCTTGGGCGGGCCGGGCGCACGGTGCCGCAGTCCAGCAGCCTATCTGTGGCTATTCATCCATTCGGTCAGTAGGGCCAATATGTTTTTGTACATTGCAATTATATAAATCGTAATCCATTTGGGTCACTCGCAAACCGATGGAAACACACAATACATGCTCTCTCTTTCCGATGCCCTAGGACCACACCCTAAAACCCCACCACCCCTGCTTCCCCCCGCCCCAACCTGTTTTCCCCGCTTTTGCCGTGTCTCCCGCAGTGGCGGGATGCAAGGATTCTCTGCGGCATGTCACCGTCAACGGCCAACCGGCTGTGTATGAGTACGACACCGCGCTGAGCATGCTTCGAGTCACGGATCTCAACGCCCCAACCAGCACAATTGCCACTGCTGCATCCGACACGCAAGTCTGTGTCCTCCTCGATACAGCCTCGTCCTGCCCCAGCCTCGCTACTTTCTGTGGCCGCCATGATGGCGCCAGCACCGCCGCAGGCGCCTGTCGCTATTCGATCTTCAGCACCGACGGGAATTGCTGCCCCATATCTGCAGTGTCTACTGCCGTACCGCTGCCGTTGCCCGCTTCGACTATCGATTTGCCATCTACGACGGTTTTCCGGTCGGATTTTCCGTATTGTCAATGCCAGCGGAATGCGGCTGGTTCGCGCCTCTTCGCTGTCGCTTCTCTAGATGCTAACCCAAATGTTGACAATGGCCTGACCCGCATCTGCTTTGACGTCGGGCTTCACGACGTTTGCGCTGATCCTACTTCAAAGTGCTGCGAATTCACGCTTTACAAGATGGAGCTCGAAGTTGACCGAGCCTGTGCTGACGCCCTCGCCTACACGACCATCGACGGCATCCAGCACGTGCGGTATTTTCAGACGGCACCCCACGCAGCCATTAAGATTGTCAATCTTGACAGGCCCCTTTCGGCTGTTAATGGCACGCAAGTCTGTCTGTTCTTGCGCCCGGAGTGCAACACCCTTGAAAAGCTGTGCGCTTTCCATGATGGTTCCTGCACGGTGGGCTTGTTCAGCAAGCCCGGCACAGGTGCTGCAAATTGCTGCCCCCTTAGTTCGGTTCGCATCTAGATAAAAGAGCTGTTACTACCTACACCAAGCTATCTGTCTTGAGACTGCTTTCGGTCTCTTGTTTTTGTCCCTTGCCTCGGCCTCGGCGTCCCCTGCCTTCGCACGATAGCGCCGCTGTTCGGAAGGAGCTAGAGTCAGCTTCTTATTTTAGAAGCGAAGGTTTGTTTGTTTCGTTTCCCAAACACTGCACAAGTATGGGGACGACGGACACGGCACCTGTCTCTCCTGGTCAAGCCCGGGGCGGGAGACACCGGCGGAGGCAGGCAAGGGAGGGGGCGGTGATATTGGAATAATGGGCACAGGTCCAGCGGAGGGGAAAGGGTGTTGCAGGGCAGCAAAGCAGGATGCGCATTGTGGCGTCGTGGAGACGCGAGCGGGAAGCTTGCGCAGTGTGGTTGGCGGTAGCTTGGGACGCAATGGCAGCGGGAGGGCTGGGTTGCAGGCATGCTGGTGAGCATGGCTTTGTATGCATGTACTTAGGGTGCGTATGCGAGTTAAGCGGCTGTACGGCGACTGCTTGGCGGACTTGGGCTCAAGTTACGAGGGGGTTGGCCGGCGCACACTCCCCATCATATTTTTCAACGGACGAGGTTTGCTAATGTACAAATGACTTGATGCCGTTTGAGATTGGCAGCGGCGGCAGGGGTAATGCAGGCGGCGCCCTTTTTTCGGCCCTAAACTTTCTTATTGATTCGATAACAACGTAGATGGCAAAAAGTGCTTTTGGGGCATGAGCCAAGTGATAGAGATATGATTGTGCCTAGTACAATGGAAAGCCCGGAGTGCAGTCCGAGACGTGTGAACAAGGAACACTGGGCCTCGAGGCGAGGGGTGGACGCCCAAAGGAGAAGCGAGCCGCTGCACCTGTTTGATCGTGGCGAAATGTTTGTTTTGTTCCGGCGGAAATTACCCCTGACCAACGCAAGCCAGTAGCCCGAGGAATGTAGAGTATTTCCCTGTAAGCAAAATCCTTTGGATTTGTAGCCGGCTGCGTACACATGCTTGCCTTCTCGCCTTTCCGTATGCACGTGACTTGCCATCACTTGCCCGTACCAAGGTGCGTATTTTATGGTCTGGGAAGAGCGCTTTTGTCTCGATGTAACAGAAGTGTACCTGATTGAAGTCACAGAAGACGACATTGTGCTGCGCAGCATGTTCATCGGGGCTCATATGTCACAAGTACGGGCAGATTGTCGTACTATGTGAAAACCAGCAGCAAAACATACACATTTGCACGGGACACGCTAGCAGGAATTCAAAACAAAAGGAAGCAAGGGGGCGCGTGTGCTTTCAGGACAAAAAGTGTCGGCTGCGGGGCTGCAAAGCATTAAAGATGAAAGGGCTGCGAGAGTGCCTGCAAGGGGAGTTGACAGGTAGGACAAAAGCGCAAAAGCAAATGACTGGAGGCTGAGAGCCGCATTGTAGGCTGCCTAGCGTCGACCTTCTGCAATGGCAGGGGCCTGTTTTCGTGATGCAGGCAGTGGTGACGATCATGTATGCCGGTGGGAATGGCGTGCAGGTTGGCACCGTATTATATGACGGGGTCGTTTGTTTATACAAGTTGTTAGTACGTGTCGCGCGGATGCGCTGCTGTCACCTTCAGCGATCTCTTGTGAGATCATGTATTATGGAGATGCATCACAGCTGAGCGTGGTCTGTGCAACTGGCTTGCGGCTCACGGCGCAAGGTTCCAGCACGACTTACAGAGTTACACAAGGGCGTTGGGAAGTCAATTTCTCGGGCATAGCTTAAGGTATGAATTTAAACCGACACCGCGCTACGCCTGGGAGCGACGAGTCTGCTGCTGATTTTGCGACGGTTAAATACCGAAACGGCCGAATGCAGTAGATGCTAAATTTACCAGGTGAGAGAAATGTTGATAAGCAAAACCATGCCTCTTGCATGATTAACACTTGAAACCATCACGTTCGAAGCTTTGGTTACTTATGTACCGGGACGGCGGCGGCGCAGGTTATGCAACGTTCCTTTACGCTGATGACTGCTGATGATGAGGGTTAAAGATGACAACACGAGTGAAGGTTGAAGATGCTCATTCGATGGGTTGCTATCTTTTGCTTGCACTTTCCATTCAAAGGGGCACGTGGTTTCTTTGCACTTAGTACAACTGACATCCTCCTCCTCCAACTGCTTCCCTATTTTCATATGCAATAGTTCTTCAACATATAAGTTCTGGGATCCTATAGCTTACTCTTTCACTTTGATGTCCTTTGTCGGCCGGGCCTTCACGTCCCCTCCCACTTCTTTGTTCTTTTGCATGGAGGCTGCGGCAATGGCTCCCTCGCGCGATATCTCTCAACAGGTCCGTTATAAGTATACATCGGTTTTATCATGCCTGCTGACTGGCGTGCGGTATTTCTGAGCTCCTATCCCCCCCAATTCCTGGCCATGCGCAGAAGCTTGTCTGTCCGCGCGCACGCAAATGCCGCCCTGAGCTTTCGCAATATGAACAATGCCAGCGCTCAAAGCTTACATCAAGGTGAGGTCTTGGGCCGTATTTGTTGACCTTTGTTTGGTGCGGTGCACATTCTGGAAACTATTTCAACTTTGCCTACTTTGCTCGCAGCTTACAAGCTATGGGTACCGGCGGAGAGCAGCTTGGGGAACTTGAGCTTATCTTGCAGGTTGGTGTGCAAGGGTTGTTCTGTGTAGAACCCTTTTGGGTGCCGCATTGTCACATTTGCACCAGGAGATGCGAGGTCCGTTCTCAACGTTTCCAAGCTTTTTATGGGGTGTCAAGATCTGGCGCTGGCTTTGGTCGTCTGCTCATTCTACAACAAGCACCTGGTCCAGTGGTCATTCGCCTAATTCCTCTCTTGGTCCTGCAGGGTCAACCTCCCGATGTTCCAAATACGTACCTCGGGATTTCGCCACCTGTGCGAAGCGGCTGTTACGGCGGGGCTGCGAATCCTATCCAACACGATTCGACCTGGAGCGCTTGCGCGTTCAATGCCTCGCATTCCAACCTCCAGGCTTTGCGAGAGCTGGATTCGCAGCACTCTTTCTTGCGGTGCACCGGAGACTATCGGCTCCTGCTAGGCTCGCCGGACATACGAAGCTTTGTAGAAGAAGTCGCGGAGCGCAGTTCTCAGGCGCAAAGTCAGCCGCAGCAGGACTCATCTCGGCATCTGCTCCCCTTCACATGTCGGGCACAATACTATGCAGTCCGGTGAAGGTTAAGTCGTCGAAGTGTTTTCCTTGCGTACCGCTCTGCCCCAAATAAAAATTGTATGGTATGCGCAGAGCCCTTGTATCAAGCCTGCGGCTAGCGTGCCCGTTGCGTGGCGCCAGCGCTGTGGCTGTGGGCAGGAAATCTGTTTATATGTACGTCCCCGTTGACGGTATGCCTGCGCGGAGATGCTTTGCCGTCTTCCGTCTGCCCTCATCGCGGTCAGGCGGCACGGACGGCCAGCATGGACGGAGGTGTGTCGTCGTTAAGTACTGGCCCTGTACAAGTGATAAAGAACATAGCCGCAAGCAGAGATTTTCTCGTCAGCTCATCCCCTTCCAGGGCTGTGTGATGGGGGGAATCGGGGTTTGGGCGGCAGGGGCGCTTTCGCGTTATGGTGTTACCACCATCACTAGCCATGTGTTTAGGCGCTGTATTTATATATTCCAGCTTGCAACAAAGCAATGTCGTGTACCAAAAACCGGAAACGTGGAGGAATCACTCCATCGCTGCGCTGCATGAGGTTGCCGCAAATACCCACAATGAGCGGCGCTTTCTGCAGGGGAATGGGTTTTCCTCGACCGTCTTCCATAATATCGTTTCGTCGGTCAGCTGAGCGCGGCGTTTTGTAAGGAAACACCGCCTGCGTTCTTGGGCCTTGTGTCTTGCCTGTTTGTGCATCAATACTGAGTGTCTTTGCACACACACTTGTTATTGTTGCGCGTGTTGCCGACGTGGGCGTGTATTTGTGTCTGTGCGGGTCTACCCGAGCGTGTGTAGCTTGCCTGTTGACGTCTATGTATGTGTGCGATTGTTTACGCGTGCTGGACGGAGTGCTCGGTTTCGAGTTTAAATGGAGTGTGACACACAGGGTTTGCGGGTGCGCTTCCTTCCGGTGTCCCCCATCGCTTTCCCGCCAGATGAGTTCATCATGACCGCTACCTCACTTCCTTAGCCGGCTGACGCTGCAGCAGCAGTCGTTGGCGAGTGCGTTTCCTTGATCCTTGTTCTCGTGACGGGTAGACGTTGGAGTGGGTCAGCCAGGAGGGCCCTGTATGATCAAGAACATTGGGAATGCGGGACGCAACTAGGTGGTGGCGACGCAGGCCGGGTTTACGTTTCTACTATGCTTTTGTCTTGTCGGTTCCCTAATGGTCGTGACCATAGCAATTGCATGCGGTGCGGTGCGACCGCTCATTTGCATGCTGTCACCGTTGCAAAACAAAAATTGCGCCGGGGGCAGCCTGCCCGCGGATTTGCGCCAAGCTCGTCAGCCCGACAGCAACGCTTTGTATGCTTTGGATTGTAGGGACCCAATCGATGATCGTGAGCGCTTTGGACTTGAAGTTGATTGTGGCGTGGTAGCGGTGGTGGCATGTTTGCTGATCATTCGGTTCATGTGCACAGCACTCTGGCCAGGCAGGAGGGCCGGGGTCTTTCCTGCGTGCTTTGGGGCCTCGGGCCCAACTTTTGTTCGCTGTTGTTGTCTCGGGCATGATGAGCACCTGCAATGGCATGGCTGTTTTGGCTTGCCGTTCGTTGGAAGCGGAGGGAGCGGAGGGGTGCGAGCGCTTCAAACTTGCGCTCGCTCACGGATGCTTCCTCATGTGCGCCAACAGGGGCTCGTAAACGTCACGTCACGCGTTTTCCGTATGGTCAGAAGAATCATGGTCGTCACAATTTTTGTTTTGTGTGCGTGTATGTTGCTGCCCGTCTGGTGCATAGCCGCGTCCGCTGACGCAATGCCCATCCCGGTGTGATCGTACCGCTTTTCGAGTCCATATACTTTTACCGCTCCGCATCATGCTGGCGGTGGTGCCATGCTAGGCACAGGTTGTAGTAACAGCCGTCGTGGTCGCCGTGGGTTTGCGTTTTGTCCCCTGCGGCTAGCGGGGGGTTCGCCTTTGTTATTGCTTTCTTAATGCACGTTGCAGTGGATTGCGTAACTGTAGCAGCATCTGATTGAGGGGCTTGCCAAGGGAGGAGGGAAAGATGTGTATATCCAGGTCCATGGACGCATGGATGTAGTGTAGAGCTTAAGTGGCGCCGAACGGTACTGGGGGAGCAGTTCCTTGGGACAGGAGGAGAGGGGATGCAGGGCCGCTGTCTAATCGGTGTGGATTTTTGCGAATGGTATGATGCGGATGGTCCTGACCCGCGACGCGGCAGCTGACGTTATCAGGTGAAATGTGACTGAGTTTGCGGTATAGCTATGGATGTAAGGAAGAAGGGCAGGAAATTCAATCGTGAATTCGATAAGTCGTGAAGGCCGCGCCTCTTATCACCCTGCTAGCCTCGCTTGGGCAATCGTTCACAGCTGCGAAGGGACGCTTGGCTTAGGATGGTTTAGTACAGGCTTGTTTTGGGTGAAATAAGGTGGCTGCAACCCGTTAGGGTTTCAGGCTACATAACATGTCTCCTTTCCCGAGTAGTACCTACCCATCTTTCTAGCAGTGGTAATGGATGACGGGTGCCGGATAGTAGCCCATGGATAGGGACGCGCCAGACTATTTCCCAACATTTGGCATTTTGGTTGAGGGGCTGAAAGAGGCTGGAAGGCATTAAGGGTTTAAGCTGAAAGAAGCTTAATATCCTGTGTATCGGATATATGTAGCACTTGGACTTTGCTAGGGCCAGCTCAAAAGTATCAGCGTGAGGGCTACTAAGCCACGACCGAGCCTGGGAAACAGCGCAACTAAGTTATTATATCCGATCCTATGATCTTCATCACTTGTTAGCTTGGACATGTCGGTGAAGCGTGTTTAGAATTGAGCGCAGTAGGAGTGCAACGGCATGACCCATACATTGCCTCCAACAAAACGCGTTTTATGCCCCGGCGACGCTAGGTTCTCCAGTTTGATTTTATAAATGGTGAGGGATAGCGGGTACGGCAAGTATGTTACATCAATTACGATACACCACGTCAGGTATCCCTGGACCTGCCACTCGTAATAAACAAAATGTCAGCTAACACCGAATGCCCTTTATGAACCGAACACAGATGTCGCGGCTGTCCTAGACCTCGCGTACACACAGCCCGTACACTCGCCTACACCACACCGCCTGCATACATACGGCAGGCGGCTGGCAGAGGTTAAGGCCTGACTTCTGCTCTCGGCCGACCCGGGTTCAAATCCGCCTGCCGGCTCCTCGGGTGTTTGAGGAGTATTGAAATGGGAGGTGGCCCCCCATCATAGGGACGATGTAGGATGTGATAAAATCAACTTGCGAGCTGACCAGGAACTAAGTTGATGCGCCGTTGATCCGCTAGATTTAGTTGGATGCTGGTGGTGAGTTGCTGAACCCAACGAATACACTCTGAAGTCGGATGGGGTGACGGATTAGGGTGCCCCTCTAGCAGGGGAGAGCAGGGACTGCCCGGGAAAGGGGCCGCTGGCGAAGTTAACCACCCTGTAACAACATACACAAGGCACCCCACAATGCTTACGGCAGCCCGCAGCATTGTTCACAAAGTCGCACAGGCTTGATTTTACCAGACAAAAACTGCATTTTTAAATATGCAACCTTCATTCAATCACCACGGGCATACTGAGTGCCTGCTTCCTCCCCCCTTCAGCAAAGCTCCTCACCCTACGTATGCTCCTCACTTAACAGTTGCCGCAACCTGGAGCGCAGGTCCCCGCAGCCACCGGCGGCGGCGGGGGCGGCGGTCGCACCTGTCCCGCCGGCTGCAACCGCCGCGGCCGCCGCCGCTGTGGCCGCCGCCACGTGCACGCTGGACCCTCCGAGATTTCCAGTCGCCTCCACGCCTTTCCCTATCCTCGGCCGCCCCACGGTTGCGGCATTGGAGACCTCAGCACGCCCTGCCGACGGCACCGCGGCAGCTGCGCGGCCACTCGCAGTTGGCTGCTGCCCCACGGGTAGGTTGCCTCCCTTGCCCAGCCGCTCGCGGCTCCTACTCCTGCCGCTGTCGCTGTCGCCGTCCGCACGCCTGCCATCGCCCCTCCGGCGCTGTCGCCGTGACCCCGTTTTGTCACTGCCCTTCCGTCGGCTTTGGCTGCGACTTCGGCTGCGGTCGAGCCGCGCCCTGTCCTTGTTCATAGACCGTTCTCGGCCCTTAGCTGAGTTGTCTTCACCTCTTCGCCTGCGATGGTGCGGGGAGCGGCTCCGGCTGCGGCTTCGGGTGCGGCTGCGGCTACCGTCACCGTGGTGCTGCCGCCGCCTCTGCCCTCGGCTGTGACTTCGGCCCCCGTCGCGGCTCTTGCTTCGACTGCGGCTTCGATCGTGTCTGCGGTCGCCATCGCTGGTAGCCTTATGGCGAACTTTCCGGGGTGACCGTGCACGGTCTTTAGATCTCGATCGGGATTTAGATTTGGATCTGGATCTCGAGTTTCGCTTCCGGCGCTTCCGATCCCCCTCTCGTTCGCGTTTGTGATGGTGTGTGTCGCCCTCACGCTTGCGGCGACTCTTGCTGTCATCGCCACCGCCACCGCCTCCACGCGAGGCCTCATTCCCAGAAGCCGGCACCGACGCCGCTGCCGCCTCCTGCCGCTCCGTGCGGATCACCTGCGCTCATGCATCCGGCGCACATCGAGCACAACCCGGCAGATCATTTACGTCGCTCGGCATATCTCTCAGTACACAAAAAGCCAAAAGACATTTGGGTGCGTCAAAAATGGGAATGAAACGCTCGAGACCGGAACACGTGGCCCCAGTCCAGCCCAGCCTGCACCCAGACCTCAACAACAACAACAACCCTCCTTCGAGCCAGGGCCAAAACCGCGCGGGTTGCACCAGTGCTGCGGAAGGCAGCGCGTGGGCGCACCCTCGCCACATGTGACTTCCTTGCCCCACGGGGCTGTGGGCCGTGTCGCACGACTGCAGCCCTCCCCCTTAAACTCGCAGAGGGGGCCCTGCAGATCGTCGCCCCGCCCGACCCCGGCCGCGGGCTCGGAGAAGGGCACCCAACCCCCCCGTAGACCCCGATAAGAGGCGGAATACCATCGCAGAGCTCTCAGCTATGCCTCATCACAGGATGAGGCAGCAATCCTCCTGTGATGAGACGTTCTCATTTCTTATACAAGCCTCAAGTCCATGAGCCTCATCACCCCCTTATGAAATGCCTGCTTAGGCGCTGCTGCTTAGACCCAAACCGAATTCGAAACGCCTTCACGGGGAAGTTGGAATTTGTATTGTTGCGCCCCCGAAAAAAGTCTCTTCGCGGCCCGCCTCGCAAACCGCTGATAGCCCCTCCATGTGCGCCATGCGCCATGAAACTGTTCTCGCGCTGCCTTCACCGACCTGAGAGGGGTCCCTAAGCATGGCTTCAAACGCCGCCCGATGTTGGGCCGCTGCAGCCGCCGCTGCGACGACAAGCTCACGTAGCGCCGCCAATGAAGACGATGGCGCCGCCGCCGCCGCCGCCGCCGCCGCCGTGGCGGGTTGTACGAGGGGCTTTACCTGGACATCAGCAGCCTCACCGGGAAAGGCAGGCCGGGCTGGTCCAACGGTCGCCGCCGCCACCACCGCCAGTTTGGCCTTGGGCTGCGGCGCTGCAGCTGCACCGTCCGTGGCTAATGGCGGCTGCTGCTGCGTCGCAGTTGGCGCTGTAACAGCTTGCTGCTGCTGCTGCAGCCGCGTCGCCTGCTGCTGCTTTTGGCGCTCCAACAGCCTTTCCAATGCAAGAACCTCCGCCACAGGCGCGCCGCCGCCGCCGCCGCCGCTGCTGCCGCCAAGATCTTTTCCCTCCGTGGCGGCGGCCCTGCGGGCCGCCAGCGCGGTCGCAACCGCAGCGGGAAGTCCGGTCCCCTCACCACCGCCAACCGCTAGCGCCGCCGCCTCTTCCTCGTCCGTGGCTCGTAAAAAGAAGTGCCGGTGGTGGTGGATGGCACGTGACCGTTGCGCTGCAGCTGCCACCTCCTGCTGTGCACGTGCCTTCGCAACAAGCAGTCGGGCCGCTTGACGCCGCGCCTCCAGTCGGGCAGCAGCGTCGGGATCGGCCGCCGCTGCCGCCGCGGCGGCGGCCGTGGCGCCGGTGGCGTCGGTGCTACCTCTTGTACCAACCGGGGGCGGCAGCACGTCCAGTGCTGCCTGGATATCATCCCGCCGCCGCCGCCGCCGCTGTTCCTTCCAGCTGCGTGTTCGTGTCGCGTTGCCGTCGACATCCACGCCGCCGCTGCCGCTGCTACTGCCGCCATCGAGCCCCTCTGCCGAGCTGAAGGAATCCGTTTCAGATTCGGATCCATCAGAATCGGAGCTGGAAGAGCTTTCCATGCGCTCAAAAACCATAATGACCTCACCATCTCCGTTATGACCATCGCCTCCTCCTCCTCCTCCCCCCACTTCCCCTCCTCCTCCTCCGGCAACCGCCGCATCCGCTGGCCCTTGGTCCTCTGCAAGCAGTGCACCTCCAGCATCCAGGACGGGTTTTGCTCCACCGCCATCCTCCGCTGCCGCTGCCGCCCCAGCCGCCCGACCTCCTGGTTCCGCCCCGGGGGCCCCGTCCGCCGCATCCACCACATCCTCCTCCTCCTCTTTCTCCTCCCCAACCTCCTCCTCATTCGTCACCCCTTCCCATGCCGCAACCTCACCCTCCTCCAACTCATGGCCACCAGGCGCCTTGCGCTTCTTGTTCACGTCGCGATTGCGCCGTGCGCCAGAAGCAGCAGCAGCAACAGCAGTAACAACGATGGCATCATCACCACCCACAGGGCCAGCAGCAGCCGCTGGCTGTGGCGCCGGCGGCGGCGGCAGCGGCGGCGGCTTTGGAGGTCGGATTGCCGCAGTCGTTAGCTTTGGGTTCGCACGGATGACGACCCGGGGCGGTGGAACCGCGGGGCCCGCAGCTGCGGCTTTCAAAGACGGTGTGGTGGTGGTGGTGGTGGCGGCGCCACCAGCTCCCGAGCTAGAGGTCGCAGGCCGTGCAGCGCCAGCGCAAGCAGCGGCTTCAGCCGATGGCGATGCCTCCACTGCCGCGGCGGCAGCGATGGCCGATGGTGTATTCGCACCTGTCTCTGCCGACATCGAGACGACCCCCCGGACTTCACCGCCGTGACCTCCCACTGCCGCTGCCGCTGCGCCACCGCTACGGCCCTCGCCTCCGCCAGACGCTTGCTTCGGTACAATGACCGCCGCCGAAACCACCGCCACCCCTCCAGCCGCCGCCGCCGCTGCACTACTTGTTTCGACAGCAGCAGTCTTGACGCTCGTGCCGCTCGGATCCCGTTGCCCGCCCCCATTTGTTCCTCCCGTCGTCTCGCCGCCGCCGCCGCCACCACCGCTGAACGCCGCCGCCACCGCATCTGCGCCCAGCGCCTGCTCCAGCCGTCTGCGATAGTAGCTGTGATGTGCACCCCACGGCAACAAGAATGAAAATGCGGGATTTGACTGCTCCCGCTTCCGCACGACAGCCTCGAAACCAATCCCGTTCTTTGCCACGTACATTACGAGCTTCTCAATGATGGATTTCGTCGTGGCTGGCGGCTCCGCATCCGCCCCCGACGCCGCCACGGCTGCAGCACCTGCTGCCACGGTCGTGGGTGCCGTTGCGAAGGCTGGCCCGTACGGTGCGGAATGTGGTACGGCGTGCGCGGGATACGCCGGGTAGCCGTGTGAGTGGGGGTGCGCCATTGGGGCCGCGGAGGCGTAGGGGTACGGCGGGTGCGGCGGCAGTAGGGGCCGGGGCATGGCGGAAGCAAAATGTCCGTGCCCATGCGCATGCGTCTGCTGCTGTGGCGGCGGCGGCGGCGGCGACGGTGAGGGCCATCGCGACTGTCCGGGGGCACCTCCACCGCTGCCGCTAGTTGCGCGTCGGTAGTGGTGGCCTTGCGCCTGACCGCCACACGCTCCCGCCTCTGCATCCGCCACCGCAGCGGACAGCTCAACAACCCCTTCCCTTTGGGACGCATCTGGCGACTCCGCCGCGGCCTCCGGCTGAGGCCCACAAGCGCTACTGTCACCATCGCCGGCGCCGTGCTCCCCGTCAGGCACGTACGGCGCGGCGTTGATGGTGGTTGTATGCACAACCGCCACAGCAGCAGCTCCGCCAGCCCCCGCATCCTCGTCCTCCTCCGCCGCGCCGGGCGCGGCATTCAGCGGTGTGAGCTCACGAGGCCGGGTCTCAACCACCCAACGATAGTACGGAAATGTACGGTGACCCGGAAACAGGAAGGCAAAGTTGGAGTTGTTTGCCTGGGGGAGGGCAGGTTGAGAAAAGGTGCAGCGGTTGGTGCGGTTTGGCGGTTGGTGCCACCAGGGCAACGTGTATCGCTGACAGTTGTCCCGGCCAACAGTGAATTCCCACCCTCAAATTCCCACACGCAAACATACACACCTGTCGTACTCGCAGTAGCACCTCCACCTGGTCGCCATTGTCGAATACGAACCGCGCAGTGCGAACCAGCAACTGCGACATCAGCGGCAGGGGGGAAGGGGGGGAACATATGCTAGGAAACAAGGAACTAACTGCCTGGAAAAGGGGGGGGGAGAAAGACGAACCACGAACGAGTGAAGCTGCTGCAAGGAAAGAGAACGAAAAAAGGGGCGAGGGAAAGAAACGCCAGCGGGGGCCGAGAACTTAGTGTTAACACAGTTGGTGTTAGACACACGCCCCCAACGCCCACCATTACGAGACAACCCATTCCAGATTGCCTATCCGACATATACTAACCAACTACCCACCTACCATCGCCGCAACCCCTTTCGGGCCACGAACCTGTCACCTCAACTAGGACATCACAGTCGCCTAGTAGCCAACCGCCGCCAACTACCGCCATAACCACCTTACCGAACTCACCCTGTGTAGGCGCTGGTTCTCTGGGAGGTGCGGCTCTAGGTGGGGAGGTACGGCAAACAAGGCCATGTACGGCGCCTCGTCCACCGTCGCTATGGCTACAGCTGCAGAGCTGCCATCCTCACCGCCACGGACCCCAGGTGCCGCCCCGCGTCGCTCCTCACCCGCTCCCCCTCCCGCTTCCCCTCCTCCTCTGCTGCTGCTGCTGCTGCCGCCAGCAGTAGCACCTGCAAGAGGTGAATCCCGACAATGTGTCGGGGAGCCCGAAGGCACAGGGTCGCGGACACTGCGGTTGAAGCCATGGAGGTGGGAAATCATAGTACGAGAACGTGGGCTGTTCCAAAGATAGCCATGGGTCGGGGGGAAAGACGAACCACGAACGAGTGAAGCTGCTGCCAGGGCAAGAGTGAAGTTGGGGGTTGGGGGAAGAAGCCTATTCATTATGTGCAAAAAGAAGCGCAGGACCGACGTCGTGGTAACTTCAAAGCAACCACAGGAGGATGGGGGAAGAGGCCTCCTAGGGTATTCTCTTAGGGTCTGGGACTTTTGGGACTGCGCGCCCTTGTCGCCTGGCGCCATCAACTGCTGGAAAATGTCCCTGTCCGCCCTTCTTGCCTGCTGTTGCTGATATTGCTGTCGTTGCTGTTGCTGGCCATATAAGGTCAAAGCCTCCAGGTCACAGCGACCCCCCGTACCCCCCCTCACCATCAGCAGGTTCGCCTGTTTCTGTGCCGTAGTTGAAGGCGAAGGCAGCGTAGTGGCTGCGGTCCGGTGGTGGGAGCTCCCTCGCATAGCCGGCGCCAACGCCCGCAGCGAATCTGGGTTCTATTTCATGTGGGTTGACGTCAGAAGGTTCGGAATCGGAATCCGAGGTGCTACTCTCCCCGGTGCTGTCACTGTCGCTGCTGCTGGTGCCCGATTCGGAAGGGCCACTGGAGGGTTCGTCGGCGGCGCTGCCGCCGCGGCCTGATCGCAGGTGGTGATGCCGAAGGGACTGGAGTCAACCGTTTTCCATCAGATGGCCAGGTTCTGGTGCTGAGCCATGGCTTCAGGTACAGTTGTCAGGTAAAAGCATGATGTGCTTTCATGATAATAAGATGGTAGCGATGCGTGTGTGCATAAAAGTCGAAGGAACCAAGGACTGAAACACGCAAGAACGTCATTGTTGCTATCCTGTAACCCAGGCGACGGGAAGGTCGTTCCAGCAGGGGCCCCAAAGAAGATTATTGCTCCACACGATCGGACGTCGCTGCCTCCTGAAGCGAACGTGCTCGGGGTGAACGGACTTGCGGTAAGGACCTTGGTCGTTCATGTTAATCCATGGAAAGTTTTTTAAAGTTTTCTCAAATGACAAGCCAAGATATGCGCACGTTCCTGTCGTTATCTTGCTCACCGCCAGTGCTCGTCAGAAAGCCAGGCTCCAGCTCGTGTTCGCGGGTGGGGTCCAAGTCCCGATAGCGCTCAGCATCAAGCTCCTGCTCCTCAGCCCTATCAGCTCGAGACTTCTTTTCCTTTGAGGGCTGTGCAGGAATGCTATCTAACAAAAGCCTGACGTCGAACCGATCTACACGAACACCGTTTGCTGCTTCTTGCAAATGCCTCCCGTCCTCAATTAGCTGTGCATTATCATCATCCCGTAGTAAGGATACGGGCAAACCTAACACATAAAGGTTTTCCTCTTCGGACGTGACCTTGCTGGTGAAACCCGCGAATCTACCGGTGGCGGCCCGCCGGTGACCGCCACGGCTGCTCATGTTTAACGTTCACTTTTTTGTCATATAGCAAGTCCAATACAACGCTAACTGGTCAAGGTGGCTGAGCGGAGTCGGGGTACAGAACGAGGTGATCGGTACGACATAATGGTGGCTGCGCGCATGCTCAATTACTCAGAACCCGGTCCAGTGTTGCCTATTGTTCAATCCCCCTTGGCAATTCTATGAGTCACCACGGCCTGCTGGCCTGCATAAAAATTGTGTACAGTAGCTTCATAATAAAACTGTTCGCCCTACTTGATCGGCGTAGGCGTGACTCTTGCAAAGGTATTGTTTGTCTTTAGGTCGCTCCTGATCACATACTTTTTCCTTACTCCTAGCTGTACCTAGGAGTTTTGATCATGCCGACTCCAGCTGATCAGTCGAATTGCGCTGGGGGCTCAAGGACTACAGTCATACAGAGCACGTACGTACATTGTCATACCCTGTCAACGTTACCACGTCCTCGCGCACACCACCACCACCCACCACTCAAAAAGGCGTCGCTGCGCAACGTGCAGGTGTTGTCGAGGCTAGGATGGGGCGCAGCGGCTTTGGTGAGTGGGTAAGGAGGCGAACCATGCGCGGTGGTGGAGCACGTGCAACGGCATTGTGGAGGTCAGTGCAATCCCTCCGCGGTACAACACTATCCGCGGAACCAACACTATCCAGCAGAGTTGAGGCAGGGAAGTTGCACCTGCGGGGGAAGCAGGGTAAGCTCCGGGACCGAAACCCTCGTAGGCGAGGGTGGTGTTGCAGGAGGGTAGTGTTGTGAGTAGTGCACATGACGGAGTGGTGATCTGATGAGGTGAGGTGAGGTGCTGCCACGCGGCGAGCTATAGCCACCGGGCCCACCGGAGATGCCACCGCCCCGACGGCGTGCCCTGCCCGCCTGCCGGGTATGGGCCCCCCCGGGGTGAACTAACCCCCTGTTGCGGGTCGACAGACCAGCCCCTCAATTAGAGCGGGGCCGGTCCGGCCAGGGACCAGTTAGTGAGGCCGGTCACGGCCAGGGACCGTTGCGTGGCCTCAGGGTGTGTCGAGTAGTGGCCTCAGTGTCGTGGTGAGGTAGCCACGGTGGCTTGTAGGGTTCTGTTCCAGGGCTCAAGGCGCCGATAAGGCTGCACCTCATCACGGGGAGGGGCGCCCCTCAAGGTGATGCACCCGGGACCCACCCGGGGTGGGCAAACAGCCGCATTTGCAAATGGTGCGAAGGCTGCCTGAGGGGGAATTGTGCCGCAGCACGTGCGGTGAGGTTGGTTGTGAGCCCGGGCCTTCGTAGCCACCGTGCACTCTTTCATTATCGATTACATGAGGTAGAGATTCAGGGTCGCGCGCCCCCGGTCGAGCAGGAGGGGACTGTGGGCACCCCTCACGCCCCTCTCCTCCCTCCGCTAGGGGGAGAGTGCTTCGGCGGTCGTTGCCGTTGGGGTATACGGTTAGGTGTTGGTGCACAACAGAAACATATACACACACATACACGCATCACACACAAATACACATACACACACATACACACACAGGGTTTCCGGGTTTCCTCTGTCTTAGTGAACCGTGTTTGTGTGTCTGTGTTTGTCGCGAGAAACCGACCAGTGCCGCCGCAGAGACCAGATCAGAAAGGCCAACCCATGGTGCATGGGGCGGATACAGGGTACCGTGGGTGGGGCGCAGACGAGATGTGCGCATACATACATACATACATACATACATACATACATACATAATTAGTACATACATGCGTACATACGTACATACGTACATACATTCACACGTCCATGTGCCCATCCGTGCATTTATCCCGCCCTGTCCACCCATCTGTTCACACATATAGCCATCCGTTCCCGCTATCCGCCCGTCCACAGTCCCTTTCCGGCGCGCCACTCCGCCTGCCAGCTGCGCTCTACACAGCCACACGGGAAACTCGGCAACATCTGCTGCTGCTGCTGCGGTGGCCCCAAATGCATAAAAAAGAATTTTGTCCTAACTTGGCTACTTCGCAACGCGGTAGATAGTAAGTCTACATCCCCCTGGCCAGACCACCTACGTATCAAACTGGCTATGTTAAACACATGACGTCGGAAGTAGCAATAGCAACATGTGCCACTGTCACATCGACTCGGCCCGCACCGGCCCGCTGCTGTTTGACTGTGTGCCGAGAAATCTGTTCGGCGGCCCGTTGCAGTCCAGGAGGCGGAATCGTTCGAGAGATTGTCGAGAGAAGTCCAACAGCCCAACATCGGCCAAACGACACATGACTGACCTCCATTGAGGGCCTTACGCGGGCCCCTTGAGCGGACCCTTGCTGCATCCCAATACTCAGAGGACGAGGGACACAGGGACACAGATCAAGTTCATGAACAACACGAGCGACGCCCAATCGTGCACATCGTCACTTGATCATCAGCCACTGGCCGTTGATTGGCTCAGCCGTCCAAGCGCGCCTCATGGACATGCAATGTGACAGACTCGTATAGCAAAACGGTCGGCGCGTTGAAGGGGAAATAACGCAGAAAAGGAATTAGCCAGTGCTAGGGAGGAAAATCCCACAGAGATACACGACACCACGTCATCCCCACCTCCAAAACATGCACACACGTACATATATAGGTATAGCCAAGTACAATGAAAGAGGTCACAGAAAAGAGAGGCAACGACATCAAAACCCACTTCTGCGGTACGCTACACACCAATACACACCAATTCAACGGGTTGCATGCCCAAGCGGCCAGTTGCTAATATCTTTGTTTTATCATGAAATTAATGTGCTTGGACACACATGCGCGCAGACGGGGGAAACTGCGACCGGGGCAAGAGCGCTAAGAAAGCGCGTTGCCGCTGTCGCGTTCCGTTATTACTCTCCGTTGCTGTTTTCCGTTGCCGTTTTCCGTTGCCGTTAGCGTCTTTGCGATATTCACGAGATCTGCAGCGGCAAACCCGCCGCAACTTGTCTGCAAACAACGTTCACATGGCCCTTTCGACGCCGCATATGGATGAAAGGAAACCCACGATGTGCGCAACCTGCTTACCTGCTAGCTTGTCAACGACGAATAGCTCGCTCGCGCAGGTGTACCTTCTCCGCGGCCAGACCTTTAGGTGTCATCAATCATGGTTGGGGTAAAACCCAACACCCACAAACCCACACACACCTTTATCCGCGAATCCCGCCCTGCCCCACCATGCGCCCTGCCCCACCACGCCATCCTCACTCGCCTCCCGCGGATGACTGCTAGATGGACCAACGCGGCACGGAGGAGGGGTTCCCAGCCTGCACTATCCCAAACGGTTTGCCGAAATGTAACACGTAATGTAGCGAGCGCCGCATATATAAACAGGAGGATCATATGCGTCGTGCAGGCGCGGAAGGTAAACCCGCTATGTGTACAGCAAGCAGTGCACCTGCACTAGATACTTGCCAGCCCTGATGCCCCCCAGCGGACAGTCCGGTAAGGCGGTATGCCGTCAGTCTGTCTGTCTGTCCATTAATGGCGATTTGTTAGTAAATCAATCAGCCTGCCTGTCAGCCAATGCCGGCTGGTCAAAAGGCGGTCAACCTATGCAGGTCAAAAGGCGGTCTTGTTAGGACCACGCTCTGACTCTTCGTCGCGCGCTGTGTGTCGGGCCCCAATCACTCATGCTGCCAGCCAGCCGGTCACCCAGCAGGTAGGCAATCCGGGCCCACACCGCCCATCAGCCTACACAGATAAGGCTGGCGCTTCTGACCCCTAGCGCGACAGTCACGACTGCCGTACAGTCGTATTGCCGGCCCTGTCCGCCGGTTCCAGGCCCTGCGGATACTGCAAGTGTCTCTGCCGCTTTAATCTCTGCCAGCAGCAGCAGCAGCCGCAACAGCTAATGCTGCGTGCTTCTGTAGCTGTTGTTGTTGTTGTTGTTGCACATGACACATCGAAACGTGGCTGCTGCACCCTCCGTCGGTTCCGTGGGCACTTGCTTCTCCGGCGATTAGCCCAGGGTGTACAGAGGGCAGCAGTTCGTTGCGGCGATGGGGGGATTGAAGAGGCCGACGGTGATGGTGCCATCACCGTTGCTGCTTAGCGCGGAGATGGAGTTGCACGGCGGGCGCATGAACAGACAGATTTCAGCACCCTCGGTGTCACCGAACGCGAGGGCCAGGTTGGTGACCTTGATGGCGGGGTAGGGGCGTGTCTGAAACACACGGCTGGCATGCTCGCCATTCGCGGTTGCGTAGATCAGGGTGTTGTTGCAAGACGGCTTGACGGCGAATTCGAGCTTATGGAGTGTGAAGGTGCAGCATCGGGATCCGCGGTCGCATGAGTCCTTGCTCGTGACGGTGAAGCAAATGGAGGTGAGGCCGTTGTCAGCTGGGCTGACCTTAATCTCGGGGGAGAGAGCCAGGCGGGAGGCAGAAGGGCTACGAAGGCAGGAGCAGTTTGGAAACACGGGCGGTGGTGGCGGCGGCGGGGGGAGTGGAGGAGGGGACGGGGGCGGTGGAGGGGGTGGACGGGGGGGTGGAGGGGGTGGGGGTGGAGGCGGGGGTGGGGGAGGAGGAGGAGGAGGGGGGGGAGAGGGCGGTGGGGGAGAGGGCGGTGGTGAGGGAGAAGGGGGGAGTGGAGGAGGTGAAGGCTCGGGCGGGTTGGGTGGAGTGGGGGGCTTGCTGAAAGCTGGAACAACGGGGCCAAACTGCGGCGGTGGTGGCGGAGGAAAGTAGCTGAGGACGCTGACGGGGCAACAATTCCGGTCGGCGTTGAAGATGGCGTACTTGCAGGCGCCGCTACCCAAGGCACAGAGTTGGGCAAGGTTGGTGCAGCTGGTATTGGATTTTGTTAAATAGAGGCATACTTGGGTGCCAGAAGCCGTCGTAGCGGTTTTGTTGAGGGATGTGACGCGGAGAGTACCCAATTTCGTGTTGAACTCCCAGGCCGTGTAGAAGACACCATTAACGGTGACGCGCTTGAGGGAAGGCTTGCAGGTAGGCACTGCAAGGGCGCAATCATAAGCGAGAATATATCTCAGGATAATAAAGCAACAGCCATCGGGCAGTTTGGTGTGGTGCGCAAAAACAAAACTACATCGTAAGGTATTATTGAAACTAGCTGTTATGTTAGATGCGATTAGTGTAATTCAACCTAAACAAGGTGATAATTTCTTGCTCAAAGCATTTAAATCAAATGCGCCTGGAATCACCGGGCGCGTTGTGGAAAAAGAAGGTTAAAGGACGCCCGGACTGGCAGTCGTGTGCCTAAACTGTGCAAGCCGGCCTTTTCATGACAGCATAAGCGACAACGTTCTCAATACTATTTACACAAATGTACATTAGATTCTTCTTATCGCTTCTCGTTGGCATCCTTGGCTAACTTCCCAATCGCGAAGCTCACCAACATCGAGCTCCACTTTCATGACCCCTTGGTTGCCATTGCAGCAAGTGCTGGTTGAATTACATCCAGTCTTTTCAATCTTGAAGCAGTAAACCGAAAAGTCAGTCGTGGACGTGGCGTTGCTTGGGGTTAGGCGGTAAGGCGAGCTCGACGCGTTCCTCTCGCAAACACAGTTGGGTGGAAACTCCGAAGTGGCCTGAAGAAGCTGTCGACTACGAATGGTGTCCAGAGCGCCGTTAGCCCCGCCTACAGAGAGAGTTATCGCCAACGCCGACACGACGACGATGGATATGAAATCACGCAAGCAGCGTGCCGTCATCGTAGCCTTGCAGCTATGTGGACGAGTGCTATAAATGTAGCGCTGCGTATTCCAATCTCCCCTCCAAACAACCTGGGCTGCAAACGCGCAATGCGGAAACAATACAGACAGTGAAATACTGTACGAATATTATGCAAACACAGCCTGCCAGTTCCTACTATTAGCATATTGAATTGGATTTCCCAATATTTAATGTGCGCGTCAGTTACGCCTCCACCTGTTATCACTATTATGCCATCTTATCCATGTTCGCGTAAAAACATGGATAGCCTACCTCAGTTATACATACCTGAGGTAAATTTTGTAAGGTAAACACTTCGATAACTTAAACTTCGATCAGTGATCTCAGCGTCCTACAGGAAATGCAGCAATAATGGTGTAGATAGGTGCGTCTCGTCGTCATAAGGCGGGAAGGCCTTCCATGCACAAATCAAAACTTATAACGCAATCTTATTGTTGTTTTCATCATGCTTAGCCAGGAAGGATGTACGGCTGCATTGCCGTGGCGGGCTCCATAACTCACGTCTTTATGCGCCGGTGTGCGACGTTACATCCAGGTCGGCTGGGTGCATACTCATCCCATATTATCAATCATACTCGCAATTTTTGTTTGCCGATGAGGAATGTTCCGGTTTGTTATCGACGGCCGGCGGCGCACGTTGACGCCGAAAATTGTGCACATAAAAGTATAGAACTAGTCGGTAACTAATTAAGAAAAAATACATGAATAAATAGGCATTGTCAAACGCACCTGGTAGAGCATTCTGCCTGGGCTTGGATTGACTTCCGCCGTAACGTCCATGGACGAAGTTATTTCATCAGTTTGTCATTTGAAACGCTGGCGATCCCATCGGTGCCCATGCAATGATCCAGTCCCCAGCCCGTTACAATAAAAATTTGGTGTCCTTCATCATAGCAGATAAGCTTAGAAAAAACTTAATCGCGCACGGCGTATCAGATCCTTCGAAGCGTGGCGGAGAGGACTTCCCAAGCACCCTTAAGTGCCGGTTAAACATTCCCCCAACGGCGCAAACCCGAGCTACCGTGACCACGGCCTGCGCGGGATCTCTCCTTCCGTAGTCAAAGATGCGTCGTTGGACTGAAGGCAATGAGCAAGCGGAGAAAGTTTGTGCAGCTGACGTTAACATGTCTATGCGCAGCCAGGCGCTAGGAGTTGGCCTAACTAAAGCCGCGCATGCAGGAGTATCCTTGCTTAGCAAGGCTTAAAATATTGCAGGTACGACAATCAGGAAAAAATGGTAGCAGTCCATGGGCGCTGCTTTTCGTCCTGGAAACGACTCGGGGCCATGGGACTGTTACCCCTAAGATCCCTTCTGCGCTGTGTGTCTTTGGTTTGCAGGGCTGATGGGGGTTCGCGGACGCTGCAATCAACTGCTGTCCGTTGGGGAGGAACGCCTTTTGAAAATAGCTCTTTCTTCCACAAGATGAGCAATAAGCATAAAGCAAATTGCAGCATTTCGACACACCAATTGACGGGCGTAAAAGCCACTGACCAACTGAGCCGCCACACTCTAAGGGGGTGTTTCCACTTGGATTAAAAGTCGCGGATTAAGGTATTTTTAAGCCGCGCCAATCCACCGCTAATCCGTCGGGGTGTTTCATACATCTGGATTAACAAACGGATTGAAGTACGACACTTGCTCATTCCGTGCATAAAATACAAAAACGAGTATTGCCAGACATATAAAATACTATCGAGTATCAACATGAAGGCCTTGTAGCACCTTTGAACGACACCCACGGTGTGGTGGATAATGCCGAACAAGAAGCACAAAGCTTCCACAAAACTAGGAACACCTACAGCCTTTATAAAGGATAACCTTCCATCCTATCACTCAGGCTTTTTATGAGGCGTCGTGAAAAGTGTTAATCCGAGATTGTCAATTTGATACCTGGTGGCCACCAGGTAGCAAAATTTTCGCACCAAGTTTGAGCTTTTAGTATAGGCAGAAAGCTCGCATTTCATAGCATATTAATCTACAATTAATCCGCGAAGCGCATGAATACGGACGGAAATCTCTAACTAATCGCGCCAACCTTAATCCGCCTAATCCGTCCTAATCCGCGCGATGTTTCCATATGCGACGGATTAAGCCTTAATCCGCGACTTTTAATCCAAGTGGAAACACCCCCTAAAGGCAAAGGGAAAAGCGAATCCGCGGTCACCGCCGCTTTCTTGTCATGCATCGCATTAACATAAATTAAGTTATTACGTTAGTATGCCGCGATGCTAATTTGTGCTGGTCATCAGGGATTTGTGCAGATAGTTTTGCAGAATCGACACTAAAATTAAAAAGTGTGATATATGCAGGATTCGCGAAAACCACGAAGCTGCTTTTACTGACGTACGTATGTAACAGCCAGCAAACTCCAGCTAGCATTAGTTGAGCATGGTGAAATATCCTGATTTGATTGTCAAGATAATCATCTCTTCCATCTCTTATATTGCTTGACTATTGTGAAAGCGGAATCGTGATGGAATCCGGCGCCATCGCTCCCATTAGCCTCTGCACTCCTCGCCCTGTACGCAAGCTTATGCCCTTTTGCCTAAGAATTGCTGCAATTGACTGCCTGGATAAGATGCGATTTCTTGGAACAGGTATCGGATTATTTGCAAGTAAGTGCGTTGGTTTATAATGGACAAAGCCGCCGTGCAATTGGCCGTTTCGTTCAGCTGCTTACTACTACTGGCACTGGGCGGATTACCTACACATTCTCATCGGCAACCTGTGATGTTATGTAGTTAGTTAACGAACGTGATCGATCGTCGGAACTGTGACGTTATGTGGAAGCGGTGAACCGAACGGTCTCAGCACCAAGGTGACTTGCGCGCCTGATAATAGTAATACAAATACTAAAAATTTACACCGTTCTATTGAATGTGCAACTCTGATTAATAGGCGGTGAGCCTTCATTTAGGCTGTCCAACAACGGGTGCGTGATAAGTACGAAACGCGGGTCTGACGACGAATGACAAGTTCAGGAAACAAACTAATGACGAAGTACGAACGGGCGTGCCTGTGAGAGTAGTGCACCGGGTCGTGCCCCTGCTGGTGTGGCGTTCAAGGCTGTGGGACACACTCACGTTTCTGCTCGTCCGTGCTCGTCCATGCTCGTCCATTTTCCGTTTCTGTGCTCGTCCATTTTCTCGTGCTCGAAGATGATCACGAAAGTGTCCCGCGTGGATTGAGGCAAGAAGATGCAGTTGGCGGTGTGTATGGACCATTTGTGCACCAGATGTGCGAAAGTCCGACGCTACAGCGGTGTCCACATACACGACTTCAATTACCCTTTGCCATAGAATTTATCTCTCTCTCTCTCTCTCCGCATTACAAACCACGAAATTGAAACCCCCCGTCCAAATGACACGAGCATCTTTCTTCGCTGCAGACAATATTGGGGCTTAACATTTTGGAAACAAAATCTCGCCTCTCCACCCCGTACACCGCGCCAGGCATGTAAACGGTCGCCTGTACTGGCCTGTCCTCAGCAAACACCCAGAAGTACCATCGTCGCGAACCTCATCTCCTGTGCAGCCAACCCAGCAGGGGGTACCCGAAATGCCCTGGGATACACTGGGGGACCGAACAAGGTGTAGCACCCATCCCAAGGCGACTCGGGCGACACTCCGCAAGTTAGTGATGACGGTGACGGCTGCGAGGGCTTAATATTAGGAAGGGACGGCGGGTTGTGGATCAGGATCGCCAGCAGGCCGCGCCTTTGGGCCGGGCTTTGCCTAATAGGGGTAACCCGTTAAGTACGTGGGCCGGCGGTCGCCCCAGCGTTTGCCATGGCGGCTGCTGCTGCCCTCGTTGCTCTCGCTGCTCTCGCTGCCTCGTTGCTCTCGCTGGCTGCTGGCTGGTTGTAAACTGCGATTGCTGTTGCTGTTGCTGCTGCTGCTGCTTGTTCTGTTGTTGTCGCTGCTATTATTGTTGTTGCTGATGTTGTGTCCTTCACGGTATTGCTACTGCTACTGCTGCTGCCGCCGTCGCAGCTGCTATGATCTCCTCCGCCGAACGTTGAGGCGGATAGACGGGGGGCTGCTGCGTTGGCTGTATGTACTTGCCCAAGCTGTGGCTGCGGCTGTTGTAAATGTGTGTGTAGGCATTCCTGAGGATTGTTAGGCTAATAACACAAGCCATCGGCTTAAGATCTCCAACACTCTGGGAACTGGCTTACTTGATAAATAGAAAATAAAAAGGAAAATTTGTAACGTTCTTACTAACCTTGCGGCGTTGAAATGCACATCGAAGGTAATGCAGTTTCGTTTATGTTGCTGGGCTTTGGAGGCAAACAGAGCACGAAGGGGCAAGTACCATGTCCCCAGGGAGCAGCGGTTTTGCCACTGTTGTGGCACTAATAGCCAAGTCGAGGATTGGAGGAATGCCCAGCCCATGATAATATTCGCGCGGAAGAGGGATTCAATCATCAACAGAGCGTGTTAGAGGCCATGAAATGGGAGCCAGCACGTCTGGCGAGGATGTTGGAGCATATATGGGCTCACCGCAACTCAATTATCTCCTACCCTGGGCTAATAGTGTGGTGTCTCCTTTTCTCCGTGGCTTTTGGGCGTTGGTCTGTTCGCTGGGGGGATTGGAGATAGCAACGGGGGCCCCAAAGTCATCGTCTTGGAAATGCTTGGGATTACTTGCCTCCTTAACAGGAAAGAAGGCAAATACTTGATATTGTCTTTCCTCAACATTTCCTCAACGATGTCACAATGGTCGTCCATGATTTTGGCAACTTCCCCTTGTTTTCCTTCACCTTGCAGCCGGTCCCAATATCCGTTTGGTGCTGGAACCGCTGTCCGTCGTGTGCCTTTCGCGTTTCACCTTTCAAATGATATTCAACCATCCACAGTCGCTGATGGGGACAAGCAAGGGGATTTACGTCGGGAACTTTACCCTACAAGAAAGGATCTGCAAGGAATGAATACATGCAGCCAAGGCTTGATTGACGCAAGCCACCATTTAATTCGATGGCCGTCAAGCGCAGACCAGCATCCTCAACTCGACATTATTTGCGCGAGCTTCGACACTCCGCCACAGCCCTATGCCCCTCCCAATCCTTTCAAATTGCCTCAAAGTGGATTCCAACTCAATTTCAGCATCTCAAAGGCAAGAGCTACCTCAGTGACTATCCAGAAAGAAGTGTTCATAGGATTGGGCGTGGATTGTAGGTACAGTAGGTACGTGGACTCGCACGAGGACCCTTCGACGGCCACCACTTGATTCGTAAAAGTAAAATTTCCATTTCCATTTTCCATTCCATTAAAAATTAACGAAAACATTTTCTTAGAAACTATAGATTATGCTTAGGTACGTGCGCAGGCCTTTATGCAATCTGTCTCAGCACACAGCAGCACGGGATGTCGTTTGGCGGCTCGCATCCATATCTCAAACACATGCTAGGTCAAACCAAGCCGTGCAGGAGAACTGCAACCAATTGCAAAACAGCACGGGGACCTAACGCCAAGGCAAGTCAAGGACGAGGTTCTGTGCGCAGGCACGGAAAAACTACGCCTCGTGCAAAGTCAAAAAGCGACGGACTGCCTTTCGCCTTGCTAAGATGTGCCACCGTCAGGTCTAGTCCATGGCTTAATCGTAAACGTCCTACAGGTGCACGAATTACTGGTAAGATGTACGGCACTCCTCAGCGTTCACTGCAACAGCCACGGATTGCCGTGCGCGTCACGACAAGTGGCTTTAACCCCGTTTTTGATATGTGGGCAACATAACGGCTGACGTAAAGTGATTTGTGAGCGGTATACAGTCTTGTTGTCCAAACTGTACGGTACATGCCGGCAGCTCGTCGTGCTGAAAGTGCCAAAGCACCGACTGGCCAACTTCCCTAAGTACACGCCAACGGTCAAGCTATCCACGCAAAATCTATGCAGCTCACACCACTACGAAATGCTTGAAAAGAAGATATCCTCGTCCTCCCAAAGAAGATATGCCGGGAACCAGGATCATGATTGCATGTTAGGAGGCCCTGGTCGCAGGGTCTATCCATTGTCGTACTTCCTTACGTACGATAGGACGAGCAACGGCCAGGGAGGAAGCCATGGGGGTGGTAAGAGAAGATACATACACATACATGCTTGTCAACGTAGCTGATCACAGCACACAGCACGGCGGCCCTTGCAAAAACGCAGAACCCCGGCCTGGGTCCCATGTCCGCACCGTCTGGGCCCCTCCTCACCCCACCGCAGACATCCCTGCCTGCTTCAAGAAGTTTCAGGTAGCCCTCAGCTCAGGCTACCTCTCTAATCCCAGTCCTATATCCCGTCGTTCATACATCCCGCGCACCATCCTTCTCACCATCCTTCTCACCATCCTTCTCACCATCCTTCTCACCATCCTTCTCACCATCCTCCCCACCATCCTCCCCACCATCCCGCCCACCATCACCGATGACGGCAACCCTCATTAACAAACTACCCGCCGTTTACCAGCCCAGCCAGGTGCATGGATTGCGCCGTGCGTATTGCATAATGCATGTCCAGGCCCTGCATCCCGCGCCGTGACACCACGGGTATGGAGAGAATGTATAATGACATCACAATCCTACATCGGTGAAAGCACACAGCTGTTTCAAATCCCACGGCGAGGCGGGAGCCCTCAGGCCGCGACTTTATCTACAATGCTGACGGGGCAGCAGTCCACGCCGCTGGTATCAGGCCTGTTGAACAGGGCAACTGCGAGAGTGCCGTCGCGGAATTTGCCCAGCTTCGTCAGCGAGCCGCAGTCCGACGTCTTTAGCACCAGGCAAATCTCCGTACCCTCCACGTCATCAAAACGTTTGTTCAGGTTGGTTACTTTAATGGCCGGGTAGGGGGTGAGCTGGAAGAAGCGTGAGCGCTCAACCCCGTTCACGGTCATGTAGGCAAGCGACCCGATGCAATCGGGCGTGGCCTCAAACTCGGCCTTGTAGAGGTCGAACTGACAGCACCGAGAGCGCGAGTTGCAGACGTCCAGCGTGCCGATGGTAAAGCACATCTTGGTGTAGCCACGCTCGCGCGCCGGTACCACGACAACGTCAGGATAGACGAAGAGCTGGGACTTTACAGGGTCCCGGACGCAAGAGCAATTGGCAAAGTACGGGCGCGGCGGGGGCGGCGGGGGGGGAGAGGGTACTGGAGGCGGTGGTGGAGGGGGCGGCGGCGGTGGTGGAGGTGATGGTGGCGGTGGTGGAGGTGGCGGTGGTGGCGGCGAGGGCGATGGTGGCGGTGGAGGAGGTGGAGGAGGTGGTGGCGGCGAGGGAGATGGTGGCGGTGGGGGAGGTGGCGGCGGTGGTGGTGGCGAGGGAGATGGCGGCGGTGGCGGCGGCGGTGGTGGTGGTGGCGGAGGCAGCAGCTGCGGTGGAGGGGGAGGAGGCAGAGGCGAAGGCGGCAGAGGAGACGGCGGCGGCGGTGGAGGCGGCGGTGGTGGGGGAGGAGGTGGCGGTGGAGATGGCGAGGTGGGCACCAACGGCGGCGGCGGTGTCGGGAGGGAAGGAAGAGGCGGAGGCGAAGGTGATGGAGGAGGAGGGCGCATGATCGCCGGCGCGGTGGGTGTATGCATCGGAGGGATGAAGCTTGCAACCGCAACTGGGCAACATTTGTTAGTGATATTTTGGCCAGGATCACTGTTGAAGATTGCGTATGTGCAGGACGCGTCCCCAGTAGTGCAGAGGGTGCGGATGTTGGGGCACGGCGTCCGGCTTTGCAGGAAGAAGCATATCTGAGTGCCTGGGGCTGTCGCCGGCGTCAAATCAAGCTTGGTCACACGCAGGACGCTGAGCTGGCCGTTGAACTCATAAGATCCCCAAGGCTGCTTGTTGACTGTTACTCGCTGGAGAGAGGGCCTGCAGGAGGACACTGCGAGAGCGCGGTGGCGAGTAGGCATCCAGGTGAGGTCATAACTTCATTGCGGTATTCGGGCGAGAAAGCCACGGTTGGTGAGAAATGCCAAAAAAAGACGCAAGGATTTGAAAGTGCTGAAGGAAATCTGAAGACCATGCTCTTGGTGCTGTTTTTGGTAATGCCGGTAATAACGTCTGAAGTCTTACGATTCGATATTCCGGTGTTGCGATGCGCTTAACAACTGGATAGAGTTGTACAGGTACGTACGTGCCATGGGTGCTGAAAGGCCAGCAATCTGAATTCTTTCATATGTATGCTTCTGTCATGCATGGAGTGGGATGTGTGGCAAGGTCGTTCTTTAAAAACGAGACGTGAAAAAGAGGCAGAGAGAAGCAAACGAAATGCATTGTTGGGGACCTTACTTACCAACGTCGAACTCGATCTTTGTCACGCCCTGCGCGCCGTTACAGCACTGAAACTTGGCCTCACAAACAGCTGAGCGCGTGATGGTGAAACAAACTCTCTGAGCGCCAACTACGGGATCGTTAGATGTCGCGGCGAGCACGAAGGGAGCTGCTCGTGGATTACGAATGCAGCTGCACCTTGGCGGAAATTCAGGGTTGGGCAGCAGCAGGCGACCTGATCCAATATCTGAACCATGCGAGGATGCGCAGAACAGGAAAACCACTGCTAGGGTGCTGATGTAGATGCCCCGCATTGCGTGGCAGGGCCCAGACATCGCTGCAACAGGCAGCTACAATCACCGATATATTATGATTTCTCTCTGCAGCTGCTTAGAAGATACTGGCAGAAGAAAGGTGGCCCTGTGTTCCAAATTGCAAGGGGCAAAAACATCATTAAGCAAGTGAAGCTATACGACTGCTTGTTGCAATTATTTATTTAAGTAAAAGATCCTTGACGGCTAATCCTGACGCTCCGCGCGTACTCCGCGTACTGAGGCATGAAAAAACAAAGTACGCTGATGATGGTTCAAGGCGACTGATATGATTCCAATAACTCTTATTATATATTATAGTTTGCCGCATCTGGGGACACAATTGGACTTGCCTTGTGCTGGGGCCCACGAGCCAGAATCTGCGCCAGGTCTAAGCCTGACAATTCTGAGCACACCAAGCAATTAAAAATGATTCAGGACACAAGCTAATACAGAACTCAAAAGGTAATAGGTGGTATTAATGCACCGACGATGCCAGTACGGATACTTCTGAGAACGGAAACGGATGTCGGGCCCAATTGTGGCTTGCAAGCCTTGTGTAGCAGAAGCCTAATACAGAGAGTATTTTATTCAGCTTGCGAAAACGTAAGCTCCCACTTGCAGCAACTCGCACAGCTGCTGTCATCTCGTCATTGTTTCCACAGGACGTCACTACTCAAGCATGCAGCATGAATGTTTACTTAATCAAAATGGAACTCAGGTATGCTATATAACGCCGATGAGTCTCCTAATTCTTGAGCGGGCAGGGACAAGACGAAGCGCATGTGCAGATTATTAAAGCTAAACACTGGTAGTAAAAATTTGAAAACTGACTGTGCAAATTGTTTTAGGCTCGAAAGCCAATCTTGTTGTTGTTTCTGGCGGATGGCTTAGTCATCCCGATGTCTCCGCTGCTACCTGTGAGGAAATCGACCTGCATAAGAAAATCCTAACCGAAGCTTACCAGTAAGGTTCGATGCAACTAAGAGAATAGATATGAGCTGTCGACTCACAAGTTGTATGATTCTGGCAAACTATTATCGCGACACTTCCGCAACCAGGACGCCATCAGGTAGGAATATTGTAAAAAAAAGCATAAATCGCCGACATGGATTTTCAAGACAGAATTGACTTAATTTCTATGTGTTTTAACTGTACGTGCGGGTGCCTATCCAGGGTTACCGGTACGGAAAGCTCGGTACAGCACCTGTGGTCACATACCTAGGTTTTAATCAAGACCATCGATGAAATATTACAATCAGTATTATAGAAATATGTCGAAGTCAAATTCAGGTCAAAGGTGTACATCTAATCATTCCGAAGTTTATCTTAATAGAACCCGGAATATCACAAGATGCTGCCCGCAATCAGTTCAACAAGTAAAGCTGCTCCATCAGATTGGCTATATCGCGCTCCTGTGCTGTGACGATCTTCCGCTCCTTGGCAGCCGCAGGGATAGATAGACTTCCTGCTAACTGTTGACGTGGCGCCTCCGTCGCTTATCACCATCGTCATGTGCATTAACTTCCGTCTTTTCCGCAGGGCCCAGCACGATACGGCTCCACGGTCAGGCCCTGGATGCCTGCCTGCCTGCTGCGTGCTGCCCCCTACCTGCCTGCCTGCCTCTCTGCGTATCATGCGCTCTGGTATCATGTCGAGAAAATCTACGGCATACCAACCAAACTAGAAATTGCTATGGACACTCTAGAATATCGTGTATATGAAGAGGTTGCTCTGCAGGCAGCCAAGACTATTTTGCACTAAACGATTTACAGATTCACGGCAGGCGGTGAACTTAGTGGCCAAATGTAACTTGCCCCGGACGCCTATTGTGTCCACTGCGCAAAGCAGGACAAGATGTTACCTGTTGTACCGGCCGTACCGTACCGTACCGGCCAGGATTATGTGATCCCCCTACAAAGGATATCTGGCAAGGGCCGCACATGCTGCCAGAATTTTAAAGTCCGTGTTGCTGCAGTATAATATCTCTTTGCGCCTTTTGAATCAGTGCCATGGTTAATTTGTGCCAAGAGATTGCCTAACCTTTCTTAACCCCGTGTGACGTCATAATCACTAGGCACCATGGCCGTGTGACTGTAGCCTGCGGTGCGGCACAAGTTGTTGCATGGCGAAAGCCGCTACCGCAGATGCCGGTGATGAGGCCTTGAGGCTTCCATGAGCGCAGCCAGAAACGCTGGCCTGTCCTCAATTAAGGAAAGCTGTTTCATAACCTGGATCCGGAGTCCCCATACTCAGGGCTGCGTATACCAATCGATTCCCGTGCAGGGTCTTGGTTACGACACTATCAAGTCGTTGGAAAGGCCTTGCTTGGAGGTGTCTCCATAGCTCAAGACTCCTGAGATGTAAGGCAAGTTATTCAATGACGAAACATCTGATGAATTACGTCCTTTCCCCGTCCTGCAATACGACATCAACTGCCATACGACATACGCTTCAGTACGACGACACGTGAAGGCGTCCCATGAGGAAAGCAGTTAACTCTCCATCGCTACCTTTGCATCGGCCAAAATTCCAAAGCTAACACACTGCATTTTCATCATTCCATCAACCAACACACCAGCTAGGTGATTACTGTTATAGTGATCCACTCCACCATCTCAACGGCCGCACTAACAATCGTCAACCTGCCAACCAACAATCACCGCAGGCGCCCTGCACTGTCCTGCACTCTACAAGCAGCCGCCACCCCTGGAGGCACGCGAACCGAAACATCATGAGGATACATGCGGCGGCATGAGTACCTACCGCAGTTGCAATTGCTATCACGAAAAAGAATGACGCCTGCATGATAATAATGGGCTCCTGAGGCCAACAGATACTAAAAGGCATCTCTACTTAGCGTACTGTAGCGTGCACCATTTTGACAACAAACCATGCGCATCAGATCGCCTCATCCATCATACAAGAATAGGACAGCTGACCTCGCCACAGCATACATCCACCGCACACCGCACACCGCACATCCCGGAAAGATCATGGCTGCATGCAAATGTGTCACGGCACACACCTCTAACAGACCCTATGCGCCATGGGGTTCCTTGTCAGCGAAACGGCATATCAACGGTATCAGCCTCGGTAATTTTACCGTGAGCGCAATAATCCATAACATTGCATCAGTAGAGCCAATATCAACGAGAAGAGATCGCGCGAGCTGTTTTCGAAGGATACGTTAATCGCGAACACATGCTTGCAGCGTACTAAGTTATGCAAAAGTCCAAGGGCGAGCAAGCACCACGACAACCCGGCAACAGCCAAGCCAGGTGGTGAAGCCAATATACCGGAAAGAGGAGCCCAACATTCCAGCAGCAGACAAAACAGTAATTGAACTAGATTGTCTCATACACAGAATCTGCAAACCTCAGCCTTGCGCTGGTCCGTCCCATGGCTACTTATCTGTTTCAGCCCTGCATAGCTTAGACCGGACAACGATCGCCATCTGCTCAGAAGGAACCTCCTGCGCGACCTTAGCCCGCGCAGATGCCGTACAGGGGCCACATCCAGGACAACGGCAGCGAACAGCGATGGACGCCAAAGACAATAAATAATGTAACAATGTAGCTTCATTCACCGGCAGACGACAAACGCCACCTGGCTGGCTTGCGTTATCGCACGCATATCCACGCAATACGTCGCACGAGGATTTCGTTAAAGCCTTCGCGCACCCTCACGTTGCATATTTGAGAATTTTCCAGTCCGACTGTTCAGTTGATCTCTTAGGACAGAAATGGAAAGAGATAAGTGCACGAAGCAGAAACCCAATAGCAAAGAACGGTTTGATCCCCCCTCCGCGTGTCCTCCTCCCCACGTTTCGGCTCGAGGTGTTGGTATCATCCGAACACAGAACTAAAATGAAGGCCACGCTCCATCTAAGCCTTTGCCAGCGACTGACACGAAATCGCAAACCTAGCCCCTTGGTCCCAGGCAGAGCGCCGAGAGCTTGAGGCGGGAAGCAATTCACAGCCATCGCAGGTCCACAACTAATAAGTTTATCGTGGCTGTTCGCGCTTCGCAGCACGGAGCACAGTTAAGGAATGCGTATTAAGATCCATTGTCAAAAATTTGCCAATCTTCCTAATTCTTGCAAAATTTCATTCCCAGAGCCAAGCTTTATAAACCAAGCTCGCGCGCGCCCGGGGGAACATCAATATGGCCATCTTCTTCCGCGCCTTGCGCGCTACTCGCTGACACCAAATATCATTTTCCAGGAGCAAATAACAGCCTGGCTAATAGTATACCATTGTATTAGCGACGCTGATGGGGCAGCAGTCAACGCTCGATGTACTGGGCTTGTTGAACAAAGCCACCGGGATCGTACCATCACTGTACTTGCTCAGCTTGGTCAACGTACCGCACGTTGTAGAGTTGAGCACCAGGCAAATCTCCGTGCCCTCCGCATCCGCAAACTTCTTGTTAATGTTAATAACCTTAATGGCCGGGTAGGGGGTGAGCTGGAAGAAGCGTGAGCGCGGAACCCCGTCCACGGTCATGTAGGAAAGCGACCCGATGCAATCGGGCGTGGCCTCAAACTCGGCCTTGTAGAGGTCGAACTGACAGCACCGAGAGCGCGAGTTGCAGACGTCCAGCGTGCCGACGGTAAAGCATAACTTGGTATAGCCACGCTCAGGAGCCTCAACCGCGACAACATCCGGATACACCAAGAGCTGTGACTTGCTTGGCTCGCGGACGCAAGAGCAGTTGGCAAAG